AAAGAGCTCAGGCTGGAAATGGTGAGATTGGTCCTGGCAATGGTTTTGTTGTTGCTAATCCTAACATCCAGCAGATGGGGATGCAAGGAGGGCAGGTGCAGATGACAGGTGGGGTTCCAATTATGAGCAACTCTAACTTTCCTCAGTTGGTGCCAGTTGGGATGGGGTTGGGACAATTTGGCTTCATACCACAGGAACAGGTGGCTCAACAATATCAGTGTTTGCTCTCTAATATGCCAAAACAGGAGATTTTGCAGACTCAGGGGGAGCAAAGGATGAGGGGGTCAAGGAGGCAACAAAAAAGAAAGAGATAGGGAACACCAAGGAACTATTCTGTGTCAAGTGTAAAGAACAGGGTCATCTGAAGAGTGACTGCAAAAGCAAGGTGTTTTGTGTGGTGTGTCAGAGACCATCCCACAATACTGATGAATGCACAGTGCTGAAGTAAGTCAAGCCAGTTGCTAAGTATGTGGGATATGGAGCTAGAGGTCTGGGATGTTTACTGCTGCAAAATACAAAAGACATTGTGGTTGATGAGCATACAAATCCTATGGCCTTGGTTACAGTACAGTCTGGACAGCTGAATGAAACCACGGTAGCTTACGGGTTTGCAAAAATGTTTGAGTGAGGATGGACTTGGAGATCCAAATTTTAGAGTCCTAAATCTTTTCTGATGAGATTCCCTAACAAGGCTAAACTGGTGGAGCTAAAGAATTTTGGAAAATTCACTCTGCTTGGGACAGGAGCCATGGTTGAGGTAGATTTCTGGAGCCCAAATGACAAAGCTAAGGGGAAACTGCACTCTGTCTGGATTAAAATGTGGGGAGTGCCTAATACATTGAGACATTACTTAGGGGGGGTGAGATTGGTTCTGCTCTAGGGCCAGTGGTGGAGGTTGATGTGCAGCACATTCACTCTACGGAAGAGATTAAGGTGAAGGTGGAAGTGAGGTATTTACACAAAATTCCAGCAGAGACTGAGATAACCACTAAAGATCTATTGCTTTATGACATAAACTTTGAGTTTGACTCAGTTGCAGAACAAGGGTGGTACAAGTTTGGTGAGGGAAATAAGAGGAAAATGTTTGACTATTTATATCTGGAAAACTTTGAAACTCAAAGAAAAAGTGACATGCAAAATAAAATCAAACAAGCTGACACTGGGAAACAAAATATGAGTTTGGGAAGCTTGGGACTGAAACAATATAAGCAAATGGTCCTGAAACCTAGGGAGATATGACAAACAAGTGAACCACCTAAAGAGAAGATGGAAGCAGGGGCAGCATGAGAGCTGCAGGAGAGAGAGAGGAAAGCCTGATGGTGAGGTTACAAAGAGCAGAGGAACTGGCTGCCAGACAGACTGCACAACTGATGCTGGAAGAGAAGAAAAGAAAGGAATGGAAATCATAAGGAAAACCCTTGAGAATGAGGTCAAGTGACAACATGAATTACTGCAGATTAACTTGAAAGGGAATGAGGAAGTGAAAGGGCCTCAATCTGGAGAAAAAACTACTGATGTGGGAGAAGAAGAGGAAGCTTTTTAAGAGGATATGGTAATTGAGGACAGACAGGCGGAGGGAGGAGAGATGACAGAGCAAGAACTAATGGATCAAGCTATTGGGCTGAGATATGTGGAGCCAGTAGATTACACTACTAGTCAGGAGACAGAGTCCTTTGAGACTAAAATAAAAAAACTGGAAAGGGGGGAATTGATCCTAAAGATGAAGAAGAAGAACTGAGAAGATGTATTAGATTAAAAGGAAAAGAAGACCGCAATATCACAGAGCTGGCCAAGGAGAGAGCAACTAAGAAAGACAATTATGGTAAGTTGCTCTCTACTGGTAGTTTTCCCAAATCAGACAATTTTCTTCAAAAAATTGCTGAGGGGGTAGGTGTCAAATTAGGGAATAACCCTGAGATGATTAAACACAATCTAGAATTGATAAAATAAATGTGGAACGGGTTAGAATTGATTTATGGTTATCTGATTTCAATAAAAATCAGAAACAAATCTCTTTGCCTGAGGAAAACGAGATTATTGATATTGGGAACATACTTTGGAAGATCTACTAGACAAGAGGGAAGATGATGAAGATAAAGGGGAAGCTGATGATTGGGAAATAGTGAGAGGGCTTTTCTCATCAAAAAAGAGAAGAAAAGAAGTAAAAAACACTAGAGGTTCTAGGGTTAAAAATGCTTCTGTTGTGAAACTTTTAGAATCTTCTGTTAAGAAA